AAAAAAAAAAAAAAAAAAAAAAAGATTTTTGTATTTAATGGCTGTAATAAAGAGTGTGTGGGAGAGCAAGTGGGCGAGTTTTTTATCTATGGAATAAAACAAAGGTATGATGTGGAACCAAGCCATTGTTGGCTGCATCATCTCTGACTAGCTAGTCTGAGCTCTCTCTTGCTTTTGTCTACGCTTTGCCTAATCATTGGCAGTTGAACTCTGTAAATCAGGACTTCACAGAGCTGTCCTAAGCTGTCTTAGGTTCTCTTTCCTTCTGACTTGACAACTCTAAGCTGCCGTTTCCTCACACTGTCTAACTCAGACCACATTTGGAAGCTTCCTTGCTTCTCCTCGCTCACAGACCCACGTCTGTCTGGTTTAAATCTTCTGTCCTGGGTTGTCTTGTTGACTGGAACTTAGACTCAATATTGGCTTAAATAATTCTTTTTTGTTGCCACTTTGGTTTGCTATTTTCCTAGATCAGTATTGCTTTTCAAATGGCTATATAGTAAGACTTAAAAAAAAAAAAAAAAAAAAAAAAACAGAAGCTTTAAAGTTTTATTAGTATCATAAAATCCCTTCCCAAATGAATCTACTTTTGATAAGTGTTCATTCTGACAATGAGAATTTGTTGAGGGCTGTTGGCAAGTTGGAGGAGCTTGCTTTTGAAACTGAAATTGGCAGGAAGTAATGACCCAAGTGCCTTCTTTCTGTCGACTCTAGCCCTCACCCTCTGCATGCACTTCTTTCTCTCCCCCTCCCCATCTTCATCACCCCGGAGCCAAAGCCCATACATAACATTCTTGGTTTCATATAGTTTTTCTGCGGATAATTCAAATACTGAGGCAGACATTCAGCCTTTCAGCTTCTCTGAACTGTGGAGCAAAGCCTGTCAAGGCAAAGAAAAAATGTATTTGTCAAGCACTTCATGAAGGGATTCCTTGCCTTCCACCTGAAGGAATTGGAGCTTTTTTTGTAGCAACCTTTGTCAGATTCCTGTGAGCATCTTCTTAATTGAATGTCAAGATTCAACTCAGTTGCAATAAAATAGTAAAAAAAAAAACAAAAAAAAAAAACATGATGCTTGTGGAAAAAGAAAAATCCTTACTTTTTCCCCTAATGTAAAGAAGCTGACAGACGAGACAGCCACGATCCAGATGTTAGCCAATTTCTTATGTTTATTAAACGAGAAGGTGCAGGTAAAGAACATACAACCATGCTTAGCACTTAGTTAATGCTCAATCAGTGAAAAATTACCTATTAATTATTTTTCCCTTCCAATTGGGAAGTGATGCTAATGAGAAGCACGGCATTACCGTGCACCAATGTGCATTACAGTGCATCTCAGCTGTGTTAGAGCCATCCTGAATGAAGCCTGGAAGTCAACTGCTCACCTTTCAGACTGGATGACTTCTTTCAAATATTGTTTTTTTGGTGGACAGGAAATGTGTAGATAGAATAATGGTGCTCAGACTCTGAATCCACGTAACAGTTTCATAGACCATTTGATGGTGCTCCCCTCAATAATAAAAATAAACACATTTTTATTGACACTTATAGAATGAAGCTCGACTGAGAATTGTAAAAACTCTTGAGGACTTTGATCTGGGCTCTACTGAAAAATGTGTGAGAGTCAACTCAGTTTCCAGCGGTCTGGCGGAAGATGACCTAGAGACCCTTCTGCAATCCCGGGTCCTTCCTTCCAGCCTGATGCTACCAAAGGTGGAAAGTCCTGAAGAAATCCAATGGGTGAGTAGCTAATGCTTTGCTTTAAGACTCAGGAGCAGCTAAGGAGGAGTAACAGGAAGAAGGGATCTGGGTGCCATAGGTTTGGAAAATGCATGCACAGAGCAGCGAGGAAGGGAACTGAGAAAAAGCAGTAAGCGCAGCAATCCGTTTCTTTCACACAAGGAAAGCTTGCCTTTGCCCGAAGTGTTCCGTGGAACAACTGCACTTCTGAAATGATGCTTCGCTTCCTAATTGGATGTGTGGTTTGGCCAGAACAGCCTCCTCAGCAGCCCTCCCACAGTAATCCCTGGAAACTAGGTTGCCTGAGAATCTCATCCCTTCCTCCACCCCACCTGGCCCTAAGCCAAGGCCTCCACCTGGAAGAGCAGTGACGTAAGTGGCTCTTACTGAGATTCATCTGAAATCATCCCAGGCAGGGAGGGCACATTTGCCGCATATGAAAAAATGAACCCAAAGAAGGGGAGGAAAAGGTCACTCCTTAGGGCAACTAGAGGAATGAACAGGAAGCTTTTAACTAGTGGTTTTAATTAGCACAGATATTATTTCCTGAACAGTTCTCCAGTGCGTCCTTTTTAAATTGCTGACAGGTGTGTTTGTGTTTCATGACAGACTTTTCAGCCAATAAAAACCTGAAATGTAAAGTGGCTGGCATGTCAAATTACTTAAGAAAACTTTTGAAATGGGCCTAATTACACTATGATTGTTTTAATGGACAAAGGGTGGAGGGGCTAGATTTTATTCGAGGGTCGCTTTTCTTCTGCAGATCTCTCCTGAATAAAGTAACATTTCACTGTGTCATTCAGTGGCAGAGAGTCTGTGAGGTGTGAAAACTGGACGCATTTGTGGTCAGGGCGAGTGGGCAGTGGTGGTTTCATGGAAGCCACATCTAGTATTATCTCTGAGGCTGTGGCTGCCGCCTCAGCAATACCCTGAGTGGTTGTAACACCTACGAAACTGGTCACCTTCTGAATGCACCCGGATGCGTCAAGTCTGCATCGCCCAGTGGCACGGCCACTGTGACATGTGGCTTCTGAGCACTGAAATGTGGCCAGCACAAATTGAGATGTGCTGGAAGTGCAAAATACACACTCAATTTTGAAGACTTGGGATTCACTGAGGGGACAAAAAGAGAATGAATTATCTCGGTCGTTTTTATATAGATTACACATTGAAATAATATTTGGTTATCTGTTGAGTTGAATACAAGATACTATTAAATTCACCTGTTTCAGTTTACCCTCTGAATGTGGCTACCGAGAAAATTTAAAATTATATATGTAGCTGCTGCTATACAGTTTCTTTTGGACAGCTCTGTGTTGGATCCTTGTTGAAGACCCATATTCAGGCACCAGTATTTACTTATTAAGCTGGTGTTCTCTCCAGGGTTACCCTCAGAAGCTGAGATACTAGTTAGAGTATGTTAATATCCTGAAGGGCCCTGAGCTCGTTCAAATATGTCTTAAGTTGATTGAAATGGACTCTGAAGTCACTGTTCCCTTTTGGTTTCATAGTTAATGCCTATTTATCACCATTATTACCCTTAATTTAAGATGGGGGAGGGAGGACCCACCAGCCTTCAGCTACGGCTCCTGTATGCTGTTTTAAATCCTTGGAAGTGAGACACATACAGAAATTTAAATTGGACTTCTAGTTAACAGAAGTCCTTTTGGCTGTTTATTTTTTCCTCTCCGTTTGTATTTATGCGAAGCATAAAACCCAGAGCCTGATGCACAACTGAAAGATGGGCTTACTTGTTTTCTTTTGTGTGAGAATCTCTTGCTCGCCTTTTGTCGCTAGTGTGGGTTCATGTTTGACTGGCACGGCTTATTGGACTATAACAAGCGTAACCCTGCCTCCTTTGTCATGGGACAATTCTCCCACAAATCCCGAACAGTGTGCATTCTTCCAGCACACTATTGGGTGTGCACTGGAATTGAAAGAATCGCTGAGCCCTGCTACTTCATCTCCTCCCCAATCTCTTTGTGATTTCTCCCCCTTCTTCTCCTCCCCCTACCCCAGTCCCCTCCACCTCGCTGAAATGAACACTTTACCAGGCCGGAAACATTTAATCGTCTCCTTTTGAAAAAATTAATTGAAACTTCTCCACTAGTTACCTTTTGTGTTAGTACTTAATGCAATTTTTTAAGAAAGAGGGGGAGGAGGAGGAGGAGGATGGGCTGGAATATTTAATTTTTAAATGGCCCTATTGGCTTAAAAACAAAAGGCATTAGGGGTTTTCTCACTAAGAACAGGGAATATCTTGTAAAGCGTTTACTTGGTTTTAAACGCTACGATTTTTGTAGTTGTAACTGTTACCACAAAGAATGGGGCAAGTCACTTCGCAAGTTTTCTTTAATGGGGAAGAAAACATCCCTACTACATTTTTAACACCAACGCCACTAATACTGTGCTACCACTTTCTAGCATAAATGAGAAATAAATAAATTATGTTTGATTTTCATCTGCCTCCAATACTATACATTTTATCCCCTGAAATTGTCGCCCTCTGCTTCTTCTCGCTATTTTGGTTGAGTTATTCCTTCCCCTGAAAAGTTACTGAGGAGGTGATGGTGATGCCCTTTGAAGGGGGGCAGTGGGAGCAACTGGGAATAATTCTTCATTACTGAAAGCTGTGATTTATTTTAGCCTAATTGTAAAGTTACTGCAAATTGCTCAAAAGCTTTTTAAAGATCCCAGTGATTAGATTTTTTAGGGGGGTGGTGCACCGGCAAGGAGGGGGCAGCTAAAAGGGGAAATAACACCTCTAATCCCGCTTCTGGTAAATAGGCTGCCAGCTTTTCAAATGAGTTTCCTTTCTATTAGTCAGAATATTATGCTAAGCCTTAAGCATTAGTTTTTTTATGTTGCCATAGCAGCCTTATTCCTGCAGGGTGGTGACCTGTGATGATTACAGTACAAAGCTTATAGGGTCTTGAAACCCCCTTTGAAGATGAAAAGTCTTTGATGGTTTATATTTATGCAAATCTCTTAGATATGATTTACCCAACTGAGACTGAATAGAGAGATGATTAAAATTCCCTTTTCCTTTGATATCTATTAATGGCTGAATATTCCTTAAATTTAAAATGGATATATATGTTTTCATCTTTATTTACAAAAATATCTTTATCATACCTGTGTTTCTTTTCTATCTCCCCACAGCTTATTAGATCTAGATAGACATAATAGATTTACAATTTAGAGTGTGTTTTTCCCCCTTTTGAAGGGGGGGAGGAATCTGGCCAAGAGCTTTTGTATGTTTCCAGATGATAGATTTTGGAATTTGGGCTACCCCACTGGCAGCACAGAGCTAGCTGTGAACTGGTCTCATGGAAAAAATTGGCGAGCTTTGGTCTTCAAAGAATTAAACTTCCTTTTTAAGGTCTTCCTAGGTAAGCTAAAAAATTATGAAGAAAAACCTTCTGAACAAAGGGTAACGGTGCTGTAATGAATAATATGGACTCCATGTAGAAGGCTGCTGAACAGTTACACTGATGTCAGTGCTGGGCACGAAACAAAAACAGAATGGCAGGTAGAGGAAGACTTCATTGTTTTAAGGGCCTACCATTTGCATCTAACGAAGCGAGGGCAAGAGGTCTTAGGTAAATATGTTTCCAGGGAAAGCGCTGGTACTCTCTCCTTCCAGTTCTAACTCCTAGGCCTCAAGTTGCTCCTTTGCAAGAAAAAAAATTGTAATGCTTGGGGTTTTACTATTTGGTTTGCTGGGAACTTCATTACCTTTTCTTTGGTCTGTCTTCTTAGTTGTTTTTTTTTTTTAATTCTTTTGTGTGGACGAAAGAGGCTTGGATATGACTTCCTCAGGTCAAAGACTTAAATACTACTTCTGTATCTACATTTCCGTGATTGTACATTTTTTCCCCACTAATCTCCTATGACACTTCTGCTTTTAGTTTGCAGACAAATTTTCATTCCACTTAAAAGGCCGAAAACTTGAACAACCAATGAATTTAATCCCTTTTGTGGAAACTGCAATGGGTTTGCTCAATTTTAAGGTAAGAAAACCATAATATGGTTAATAAGTTAGTATTTTATTTGTCACCTAAAGATAACTTTTGTTTTCAATTTTAACATCTTCTTAAAATATGTTTCTAGAGAGATTTATAAGCAGAGGAAACCTCGAACACCATTCATTATCCGTAATAGCACAAAAACCAGGTTACCAGCATCTTAGAAAACAATGAAATCAGTTAAGTAAAAGAAAAGCTTCCCAGTCCAAAATATTTAATTAAAACATTTATATATTCCTAGTGACAATTTTAATTAATCCCTGTGTAATTATATGCTTTGAATTACTGCATTTATAGACTAAATGTACATGAAAATTTATTTTGTCACCCTTATGAATTAACTTTGAAATATTCTTTTCTATGAATTGCCTTTTCATTGGGAAATTTTCTGGCCTCTCCGTAGCAACCTTATCAGTAATGTCTAGCAGATAAGATTATTGTTTGTAAGTTCATACACACAAATAATTTGCAGTACATTTTTTTCAATTTGCCACATTAGAACATCGAACATTTTCTAATATACATGTGGGAATATTAGCTGAGCCCAGTGTTTTCAGCCATTGTGTGGTTGCACCAAACTACCTGCCTTAACAAATTCAGAGCTAGCTCGTCTTTTCTCATTTATCAGGGGGCAAATACACCTCTCATCCCACCTGACCTGCGAACATCAATCTAGCACCCCCTTCTCAGAGTTCCTACACTCCCTCCCCCACCTCAGTCCCCCCAGAGGGCAGGAGAAAAGAAATCACTAAAACAAGGAAAAAAACATAGTCAAAATGTACTAAAGAGAGAATGTGTGAGCGGCAACTTTGAGACCTTGGGCTGTGCAGAAGGGGTCGAGTGCAAATGTTTGGGGAGCTGCTTCAAGCCTTGTCCCGTGAGCAGCTTGTTTATACAACTAACCGTAAATTCTTCCAGCCAGCCTTAGAATCCTGAGAATATAATCAAAAGCATATCCCTTAGATGCAACCAGATTCATCCAGTGATTTAATTTTAAGCACTGCTTCGACATTTTATTCCATAATGTACCTAGAAGCACTTACAATGTCTGAAAGTAATCACCAGTGTCCCCATCGGTTCCTTGTTTCTTTCCCACCCACATATATCAGCAGGTTCTATCTCCACCCTTCAAGATTCACAGTTATGTCTATTGACGAATGCTATTTGCCTTGACTTTCATATATAAATGTCGAAGTTGCTTTATCAGCACATCGTGGATGACTTGTTGCATTTTTATTTTCCCCTCTGGAGTTGTAGGTTTTTGTACAGTCTTTAATCCTGAGACTATGTGCTTAATCCTAATGCAAATAATTCAATTAGTTTGACTTTAAAATTCCTTCCTTCTCCCCTATGGTTTTACAAGAGTCTCTTAAAGCAAAAACAAATTCTGGAAAAATATAAATAACTTACAGTGCAAGCAAAATTAGTTAACTCAAAGCTGCTCCAAAAGTGAGATGAGCTACAATTTGAACATTATAACTCTATTAATATAATCCATTAAACAAAGCAAATATATACAATACACTTATCTTGAATGATATTAAATACCTTTTGAAAGGGGTACATTTGGGCTGCGTTTTTAGGAATGCTTTCAGCCAAACTAAGAGTCAGGTCGTCCTGTTACTGAAATGCACCGTGCCTCTTCCCTCTGACGCACACGTTTCTGTGAGCCTTGGTTCTATTCTGCTCTTTTACAGGCAGTGTGTGAAGAAACCCTCAAGATCGGGCCTCAAGTGGGTCTCTTTCTAGATGCAGTCGTTTTTGGAGGAGAAGACTTTCGAGCCAGCATAGGTGTCAAACACCTCCTCTCTTTTTCTGTGTGTGTGTATACGTGTGTATATATTTTGTCTTTGCCCCTCAGGAATGGATATTTACATAACAATATATATTTGCCAACCGTGACAATGGTTTTTCATGACAATGGAGTGGACACTACTTCCTGATAATTTAGAGCTCCTCATAGCTGCCCTGCTTCCAGAACACTGCATTATGACTTCTGTTCATTTATAAAAGACAGGAGCAATAGAAAGCCTGTTGCAGCCCCAGGCATGCTCAGGAATATCTGGCATCTTCTTTGTGCCTAATAAATATATTATGTGAACAGCCTCACCGTTGCTTCAGTATTTTGTTTTCACGTCAGTATGAGGGCTGTCTAGATTTCTAACGCAAATTTAAGGTGATTTCATATTTGCCTTAATGAATTGTTTTCCACGTAAAATATACAGTATGTAAATATTATTTTAAATGGATCTTAACTTTCTCTTACATTGTGTTTTTTGAACTCTTCATGTTAAATGTGCTGATTATCACGGATTCTCACCATCCCTCTTGGGCTGCACTTGAGGGGTCTGCGTGTGTGACTGGAGACCGTGAAGCATTTAGAAAAGAGGCCGAGGCCAGAAACCAGTCCCAGTGACCTGAAGACAGGCACTTTCCCTGAGCAGGGAGTGGCATGTTCCGAATATAAATAGGGACACTTCCCTCCCCTCAGGGTGAAAAAACTGAATGTATTTTAATGTGAGTCCTTCCAGGAGACTTGTGTATCCAGCAGTTCAGCAGGCTGTAGAAGGCATATCCAAGCTTTCCGGCCCTCTGAAAACAAGTGCCCTCCCATCTTCCCAAGTTGTCCATCCCGACCCTGAAGCTGAGGCATTTGGCTCAGAACTTCACTTTGGACAGGGCATGCCAGCCACAGCACACGCAGTTCTGTGCTCGCTGTGAAAAGCGAACCATTGCCCTGCACAGCTGCTGGGCCACCTTTTGTGGTGCTGTCTTCGGACTGGCACTTTTCAGGCGATGATAAGAAGGAAAAAAAATGTATCAGGAGGTCTCTTGCGACCCTGACCCGGCCTCCTGGAATGGGGAAGGGGCCTTCTCTTAATGCAGGTAGAAGTAATTCTATTGAAAGATGCCTTGTCAGTTAAACAGACACATGTGAGATTTAACTTGGCCTCCACGTATGCCTGTCTTCATTTATATTTGAATAATTATTTTGCGGAGGAGCAATTCCCAGGGAGGTATATATGTCTGCACAAACTGAGTTTTTATCATCAATGTCTAGGTTCAGTTTCCAAAGTTAAAGCCTCCTTTTTCTGTTAACATCCCATTTTCAGGTGCAACAAGTAGCAAAGAAACCCTGGACATTCTCTACGCCCGGCAAAAGATTGTTGTCGTAGCGAAAGCCTTTGGTCTCCAGGCCATAGATCTGGTGTACATTGACTTTCGAGATGGAGATGGGCTTCTTAGACAGTCGCGAGAAGGAGCTGCCATGGGCTTCACTGGTATGATTCCTGTCTTAGAAAGCAGTGTCTAAATTAGCAAGCATTCCAGAAAAGTAGGAATTTGACCCGAAGACACTTCTTCTGATGTCATCAGGCATCCCCCACACTTATCCCACTATTGGAAACATAAAAAAGCCTCGCGGAGGAGGAACTTGCCAGACACACTGTCATGGTTTTCTTTGGCCCCGCAAGTCAAACAACAAATCATTCATTTTACTTCCTCTTTATATTAGTTGCCCTTTTTTCTTCCATCCTCTTAATCATTTTGTTGTAGTCTTGGCTGACCTGTAGGGAGGGAGGAGGCTGTTAAAAAAAAGCCTTATGAGTGAACCACCATAAGAATTTTGGTTGAAGGATGGAAGAAAAATCTCCTAGAATTTTCAAATTTTAATTCATTTCTGGAAAAAAAATGTTGGTGATATTGTCTTTGGTTTTGTTTTTTTTACTCGTAACTAGTTTTTTGCTCTTCTGCCTGTCCAAGCCCCTCCTTTCTCTCCTACCTCCCAGTAAGTGTCCACACAGACACCTACAGGCATAGGCTGGTGACACCTACGGGCATAGGCTGGCACTAGGATCAGCGGGTCCCTTGCAGTCCTGTCTGGGGCACAGACGGGTATCTGTTGATTCGTGTGCCTGGTCACTCAGGTCCCCATGAGCCAGGGGAGCAACTGAAAATTGTGTTTTTACAACAGAGATCTATGTTTTGAAAAACCGCAATAGGATTCTACACATAAACATACACATGCAGTTGCACACACACAAACACACACTGACAACCATGGGAAAAACACGATGCACTCCTTCACTCTTACCTGTTCTTCTGTTGAAAGTTCTAAGAATATTAATATCAGAAAGGTGCCCAAGTAATAAGGAAAAGAGACAATCATCCCGATACCCCTGTTATAAATATTTTTTTAAATGTATCTAGGTAGCGGTTACCAAAAGAAACGTTTCATAAAGTAGCCTTAAATGTAAAAAATATCTTAATGGGTGATGATTTAGTCCAAAATAAAATTGAACGACCTAAGAAGCTATTTTACTGTTATATTCTAGTTAAATAAAGCTCTGAGTTTATTCTTGTGTTTTTTACACAAGGAGCTAAATATGATCCCCTCAATGTTTTAAATAAATGTGATCCCATATAGAGAAATATTCTTCAATTATCTGAGCCATTAATAAACGAATCCTGCCTGCATTTCATAGTGACTGAGGAAGAGAGGAGTCCTCTGCCACATCCATGGGATTGTGCTTGTTCCTGCCTCTTTCCAACGACTGGTTAGGATGTGACCCAAATGGAAAAGTTGGAGAAAAACTCCATGAAATTTATCTAATAGACCCTGATGTTGTTGGCCTGAAATGTATGGCACTGGCTGCCAGGCAGCCAGATGTTGCTCTGAAGTGGGAATTAATTCAATAAAAAAGAGAAAGCACTGCATTGACACTGACTCCTCCACCATCACTCAGCAGAATCTGAGTTTCCTCTGCCTCCTCTGGGGTAAACGTTTGCCCCAGAACTTCTCCGGGAGCTTGAGAGCGTCTCCAAGATACAGGACTGAATTAACTTGGCCCCTAATTCAATCGCAGAAGACAGGCTATTTCAAATCAGGTTTAAATTTCTAGACTGTGCCCAACTCAGCACGAGGAGCTTATGGACCTGGCACTATTGTTTCTCCACAACGGGGAGTATTAAATCGCTAAAAAAAAGGGGGGAAGCGAGGATAATGGCAAGGCACAGAGGGCACGGTGCCCATTATATATTCAAGGGAACCAGGCCATAACTAGGGAGCCACACTTTGTAGGCAGTTTGCAATTTTTAGAGAGAAGGCCTTTGTTGTCCCAATTATATTTCTGCATACCAATAAGAGGTAATCAATCAGATAAGGTAGAAGATTATTTGTAGTCATTTTTAAAAATAAATGTTTTTTAATGAGTATTTTAGACCTCTCAGTATCTGTTCATCCTGGTTTTTTGGCATTTGATTGCCATACCTTGGGCATTGCACAAGCAGAAGGAAAAGAAGGAAAGAAAAAAAGGAAAGAAAATGGGGGAAGAGGGAGGGAGGGATGGAGGAAGGAAGACATGCCTCATCTGAAGCAGGTGGTTGAAAGGTTTAAAATCCAGTGAAAGTATTGTATTATCCATACACTAGTAAGGAAGCCTAAGTCTGTGCTATAAGGATTCCCTGTACTTTAAAAAATGATATAGATTTTTAATGAGTTGTAGTTTTTAAAAGTTAGCTGTAGTTTCTTTTCTACAATCATTTCCCAGAATCTCAATCCATGTCGATTGATTTTAAATCAATGAATTGGCTGTATAAATGGCCATTAACTCCTCTGGGAATTTTCTCATCAAAAAGAAACCAAAACTAAATCTTGGAATAAAGCTTTAAATGCTGACTTAGTTATTACAGTTACTCCAGTGCTACATGCTGAGAAGACAGATTATAAATATGAAGCACTATAGGTTTTCTTCTTTTTTGCAGTCTATTGGAGAAGACAAAAATGACACCATCATACAGTTACCTAAAAGACTTGACAGGTATTGATTTAAAGCACGATATATCAAGCGGTACTGTAGAAAGGATTTCATGGTCATAAATTTTAATGTCTTCCAATTTTGCACCCTCTCAGTAACTTGTCAGTAGCAACTCTTCTGTATAAAATATTTGCCTGGTTCCCACATGGCATTAAACTCCACTATACAGTTGTTGGAATATATAAGATGTGACAAAAGAGAACTTCACATATGAATGTTCATATATTTCTAAAACCTAACATGTATCTTAAAATTAGCCTCCTTGCCAAAATATAGGTACTAGAGAATGGAGAGCCAGCAGTGATTTCACAGTTTTTTAAGTCGTTTATGTTTGCTCCTCAAATTATAGTGCATGTACCAAGAAGTTCCCATGAAATCTGGCCTTTTATGCATTGGTGTAAATTATGTACATAAATTAAGAAATTCAGGGCTAACAATTAGTAGGAAATGACTCCCAGAACTGACATCCTTTATTAATAATATCCTAACAACTATTAGATTACTTAAATATAATCTCAGTACCTACGACTGAAAAAAGCCCTCATTTGTCATCCCTCATGTTATTCATTCCCAGAAATTATTCCTCAGATAATTTAAATAATCTTTATTTATATAAGTGTTTAACGTTTTATGAGTATGCTGACAGAAAAGAATGAAATAGCAATGTGAGGATGTTTTATGCCATTGGAAAGAAAATATATTGTTTATCCACTTAAACTCTTTTACATGAAACACTAAAAATCTGTTTTTACAAGCATCATTCCTTTTTTCATTCAAACAGAATAATGACAAGTAATAGAAATTGACAGCAAGGATACAAAATATCAAGGATATAATTTGTACTGTCTCAATGTTAAAAATAACTATTTCAAAAGCAAAGCAAATTGATATACCAACAAATATATTTAGCAGAGTAAATGATCATTAAGTGTACAATCATTTTTAAAGAGCCAATTATGTTCATAACTTTATCATGTAACAATATAATCTTATCATTATTATAGCATTAAATTATGTTACATTTTATTAGTGATCCGATTGGATTCCACACTTCCCTGGTTGTTAAATTGTTTTTTTAAATGACTGCATTATTTCACAAAATCTTGTGGCTCTTATCTTTGTATGATGTTTTTATTTAAAATCTTTTGACTATAAGAAGAATCATAAATCTTTTTGGAAGGCATTTCTACAGAGATAAGATTTCTTCTGGGGTATGTAAGGTGCTCTAAAGAGAGAAATACACAGTCTTGATTCTGTAAGACAAAAGGGAAAATCTGGATATATTTTTGGACAGAGAAACTTTCTGTAAGTATCTAGTTTTTACATTTTTAAATGGAGTAATCTAGAGGCTGCAGTGTTCAAATCTGCCTTCTATTTTACCATACTGAATACAGTATGTTTATTCAAATCCAATTTTCTGTTAGGGGTTAGAAATGACACATAAACTATGTTCATCCAAAACAAAAAAAATTAAATATACTATTGTAAGACTGTATTTGATAATAATATAGTTGTAATGACTGCATCTGTAAACTTAATGAAAACCAGCAGACCACTTCTAAAATAAATCATGGAAGGAAGTATAATCCTACAAAGAAAGCAAAAGACAACTTAGAAAATTTGAGAGAATTCTCATTTAATTTTTTTCTACTTCAACTCAATTGCTCTAATTTGCAGACGTTATCCTTTAAAGTCCCAGCCAAAGTAGTTATTCAACAAGCTGCCTAGTCAGCCCACCTGTAACTAAAAATAAGAGATTATCTGCACTAAGGTGGCATTTCTATAGGATCAGAAACACAATTACTTCCATTGTGGTAGTTGTTCTTATGTGGTATTCTGGAAGAGCCTGTCTGATTGCAGGTTTTGTTTTGTTTTGTTTTCTCCATAAAAAGTTTTAAATTAGTTAACATACAGTCTGTGAGGCATTCAGGAACCTCACCTGATAGAAACATTTTGTTTGCGCATCTGTTTGTTGTTTCTCGGTTCTGATGTTATTAATCTTCTTGTAGGTAAGCAGGTGATTCACCCTAACCAAATTGCTGTGGTCCAGGACCAGTTTTCTCCTTCCCCTGAAAAAATTAAGTGGGCTGAAGAACTGATTGCTGCCTTTAAAGAACATCAACAATTAGGAAAGGTAAATGTTCTGTGAATGCCTTGGGTGAAAGTAGTGTTTAAAATATTGCCGGGAAGAATGAAACAAATATGTTGTGTGAATGGCTTAAGAAAACTCATTGTATTTGGGGAGAGGGGAAGGGGAGGGAAAAACATTCACCAGTGAGAAAATTGCTTAAGGTAGATTTGCCCTGCCCATGTTCCTAAATATTTCACTAGCTGGCTCTCAAGTCTCTCATTTTATTCTTTTCATAAAATATATTGGCAGCCTTAGAGAAAATAGAAGTCTGTTTAGTTTTTCTCTACAGCCTTCTATGCAGCATTCATATGAAAATAATTTTAGATCAAAGTGAGAACAAGTTGTAATGAAATAAACACAGTTTGACCAAATGTGTTCTTGTGGAGGAAAGAAATAAATTTCAAGTTATTTTAATTTGGGGGGGAAAAGTACAGAAATCTCCTCCGGTTTAGTCATTTAAGAGTGGGAGGTTGTATATGTGTTTGTACCAATTTCTGGACCTGAGATTTGGATGGAATAGAAAGCAAATTAACACTGGAGTATGGTTGTTCCTAATTTAGTGCATCATTGAGCCTCGCGTTTCCTGCTCTGTGGGTTTCTGCTATGTAAATATTGCAGTGGTAATGCACAATCTGTCTCCACTTTGTGCCAGTAACACTTAAATTAGGTGTCGCCTGAAGGAAGATTTTATGCTAGTTGCAGCATTGTCAGTTAATTATCTTAAAGGTTATTTGCAATAATACCGTTTGCCTCTTTTTAAGAGGATAAGAGGGAAAGTTACATTTATAAATCTATCCTAGAGGTAATCTCTAAACTCAGCCTTGTGACCTCCAGAAGGAGTAAAGTTTTGATACCTACAATGCAAAATTGCTTAGGGGAAAGAAAAAAAAAAATTTATAAAAAGCATTCCCCCCTGCCAAAAAAAAAAAAAAAAAGGAAAAGGAAAAAAAAAAATCCTGTTTTTTAGTGGGAACCTGAACCTGTGACATCCACGTGAGACATGTCCCTTGTACTTTTTACTAGCGGCAAGGACACCTGAAAATCCCAGGACTTGCCAAAGTGGGCAGCAGTATTAAATGGGTCATGCCCTAAGGATGTCCACATTCAACCCATGCACACATGGGCACACGCACACCAGCAGGCTTATCTTTGCACAAACTCACACTTAATACCCAAAGGCAGAATATGTTACATTGGAAATATCCAATTTGGACTTCAACCAGTTTCATGATAAACAGCATTCTTCCTTCCATTTCACATCAACAGTGGCCATCAGAAAAGTAATGCCTTTCATAGAAACAATATTTTAAGTTGACCTTGTGTTTAATGTCCATTTTTGTGTCTTAACCCCAAATCAAGATTCCCATGAATAAATGTCGATATTCACCTAGAACAAAGAGCCATGGACTCTCATTCACACATGCAGATAACTCCATCCACCCTCTTCTCTTGCGTCCCTGCCCATGCACACTCACACTGAATGCTCTATACCTCTGCCACGTGCCTTGTGCTAGCTGAGGACATGCATCTCATAAATACTTCCTGGTGAAACAGGAACCTGAGGCAGCATGTGGACCATTGAAAGGAGAGAGCAGAGTTCCAGTCTAGGCCAGCGATGTGTCTGTGACCCATCCAAGCTGGGTTTCACAAGGGGTAGCATTAAAGGAGGCCATTTGGCATTGTAAGCAGATAGGGGTATAGGAGAGGTTACCCTGAATTTCAGTAGCCAGAAAACAGAAGTCAAACCAGAAACATGTGCTTTTCTCAGCATTTAAGTTTTTGAATGAAGAAAATGACCCTTTTCCATTGTATCTTGAAAAGTGTTATTCCCTGGGAAAATGTTCCCAAAGTTGCCTATCTTTTGATGATGGCAACTTAAATGTTCAGTTCTAGACTTTTTTTTTTTTTTAATTAAGAAATGCCCTCTTGTTGAGGCATAGGCTCTCACCACAGTGTGGCAGGACGGCTTTTCTTAACACAGAACCACCGGAAATCAGAGCAGAGGGGACACTAACTATTAGGTAATTTCTTCCCTGCCCCATTCGTGGAGGTTTGTTTCCTACAGCAAATTCTCCTGGTGTTTTGTCCAGCAAGGTTGAAATGATTCAAGTAATGGGGCTTCCAGTTGGGACATATGGTTATTTTATCCAGTTAGCATGTTTCTTTCACTTTGCCTATAAACTGGCTGGTCACAGAAATTGGATCTGCAGGTAGGTGACTCTGGATCTTGAGGGGATCTTGGGGTTTAAATAATGTGGGTTCTGTTTGCAAAGATTTCGTATAAATAGGTTGCACAATTATATAAAGTATTGCTGCCAACAAACCTCTAGTCTGTTTTATTTCAAATGTGAATCACTGATGAAAACATGAACCCTCAGATATTTTGTGCGAAGCACAGATGACTCTCTCAAAGATAGGAAACCGATGGTTTGTGTCCTAGTGTGACAGTCATAAATTTCCAAAAGACCTTTTTTCTCCCTCTGATGAAAATTTCATTCAAGCAATGCTTTTAAGTAGAAATGACCCAAGAAGGAAAAATTATGTATCTTTGCTTTTCTCTGCTTCATCCTGCTCTCATCTTAAATTCCATCCGGCCCAAACACCAAAGGTACAGCTGAAGTTCCACAGGGGGTGCTGGGTCATTTCTGTTTTCTATAGTAATAATCATTATGATTATTCACAAATAAAATTACTACCTTTTCTTCCTGTCCTCTCCAAATGACAAAGTTCATGGGACTACTTAGACCATGAGCAGATAAATTATTGAGGTTCGGGCTGGTATCACAGAATTTTGGGGGTGTTTTAATTAAAAGTTCTAAGGAAATAAAGTTTGGTGTCCTTAGTATAGACAATCACTTTACGTTAAAACAAGTAACAATCAGCTCATATCATCTGTCCCTGTTTGGCAGGCAGTGATGCTTGTGACTGCTTTGTTTCAGGAAACGGAGAGGTATTTTCAGGCTAGAAAATTTTGCCTGGCACAATAGCCCTCAGTAATCAGAGTTAGGGCTGGAGACTGACAATGGGGAATCTTGATTATCTTACCTTATTAAAATCTGTTGGAAAAACTTTAAACATTCCAAATAATCTGTGCTCTTATGTTAATTCCCATAAACTAAAATGGTTTTAATTTAGCCAACATCAGCTGTAAGGCCTCCAGCCACGATATTAATCAAACTGACTTTTCTTCCATCCTTCCAGAAAAATGTATTTTGAGATACAACCTGCATGCCATCATTTTAGTTTCTAATTATTTGGTAAAATGCCTTTAGCCAGGGTAAATCCTTTCCACATGATTTGTTTTAAATTTGTAAAGGATTTTCTTAAAAGTTAATTCCATTTTTATGTCTTTTTTAATAATAGTGGTGATTCCATTAATATTTGAAAATCAGTCAAAACTGAATTTAGTATTGCTCATTAAAGTAATATGATTTTAATAGTTCTTTTTTATCAATAAAGAATTTTATATGCTATAAAAGTTGGATATTTGAAAACATCTCAAGCAAATAATTAGCTAATATTGATATCAAGAGACATGATAATTTTATATAAACAAATACATATAGCATACATGTTTATACAACATATATACATTCAAGTATGTATGCTAACGTGTATTTTCTCAATTCTATATTATGAACTTAGTGCTAAGATTTTTATCTTTCCATATTTGTTACTTCTTAGGCAAAAATGACAGCTAAAGGAAACAGCCCGTTGCTTTTTTAAAACAATCACTAATCACAGGAAATCTTAATATAGGAGGTTACTATTTCTTTGTAAATGGAGACTCTAATAGAAAAATATGAAAGAATAGTACAGTGTATTATGTTTGTAAAATTGTTAAAGACACTTTGCTTGAATATTCATATTTTGCAGTATCTGGCTACAAATATGGCTTTGCTTCATTTTCAGTTTTCCAAACATTCTCTTGTATTCATATCCTGGCTGTAAGTGCTTTGTTTGGTTTTTGGAAGGATTTTGTTTACTTTTTTTCATGTTTTCCCATTCATTATAGCTTCACAAGTTGGCTAAAGACTGAGGAAGGGGAAGTGTTCATCTTTAAATTCTAGGTTCAATGAACAATTACAAATGTCAAAAACAAGATCACTACCTGACTAACAACTGTAAATATCACACAGAACAGTCATTCTAATTTCACTCTTGAGAGAAAAATAGCACAAGTTGCTAAGTTCACATTAATAAACACATCTTCTACTGGAATACAAACTGGAAATTTATCTCTTAATAAAGAAAGAGGTTTTTTTTCTATGTGTGTCTCTTCATCTGGAAACTTTACAAATAGTAATAAATCTCTCCTACCAAAATATTGAAAGCTGATCATTTTCTTAGGTGTCTGATTGCCGCTCGCACACCTTTCATTTCTGTTTCCAAATGCAGGGCTTTACAAAAGAAATACTGCTTGGTCCAGATGGCCTTCTAGAAGGCTCCCTGAGAGAACTCAGAAGTTTCTCTAGCCAAAAATATTGTTTCCGCTTATTCAAGTGCCAGAAATACCACTGCCACTCTTTCATGCAGATCAAATAAACCATCTAAAGATGTGGATGTTGTCTTTGTCAACTGAAAGGGTTGATTCCACTATTAGATGGCAGTGTATCCTCCCACACCCATGCAGCCCGCCACCCACAGCCTTCCCTCTGGATTTACGAACAGGAACACAAAAATCAGAGCTGAGTGGTTTGCAGTGAAAACGAAAGATGCAGAGACATAACTCTACTTTTGAGATTCTTAGTAATTGCACGTTTCCCTTTATTTCCCTGTTCATTTAATGTTTTCAGAAAGATTGGCCGTAATTTTGACTTTTAAAGTCCAGTTCTTAGAAAAGCTGAGGCTGCCAATGATGCCGTTAAGATTGGATAGATTAACACTGTATGCAAAATTTTACACATAGAAAGCAAAGTGATGAAATGCTACAAAGTAATGAAATCATATGATATCCTATTTCACTTTTTTTTTTAGTGGCAAATGGCTGGTTTGGTATTAGA